CAATTGCATGTGACAATTGCGGAAAAAGGCCAAAGTTGCCCAAAAAAAAAAAAACAGAAAATCTGGACGCAGGCAAAGTTAAGTTCATGGAAATTCAATTGTCCATATGAAAGTTTCAGTTTCCTTGGCCATTCGAAGGGGAACTGCTACTCCAAGTTAAAATTAAGCTGAACATGAAAAGCGAATCTAAAAAGCGATATTGATGTCTGGCAATTTATGTTATTGAACTTTGCTTTATGCAAATTCGAAAAAAAACCCTGAGTAATTGTAACAGATTTCTGGGCTTGTTTTAATAAGATTTTTCATCATTTTGTTGAATGCTTTGAGAAATGAAAGTTCCGAAATTAAGGAGGTTTCCCAAAAAAATAATCAAACGACTTCCTTTTTACGTAGAGCCACTTACTTTTGTGTTGCAAGTTGCTGGTGGTTGCCGGTGGCCTGTTGCAAGTTGCTGGTGGTTGCCGGTGGCCTGTTGCAAGTTGCCCGTTGCCAGTTGCTAGTTGCTATGTGTGGGCCGTAATATCAATGGCAAACACTTGAAAACTGAACCACTTTGCTGGGCTGCCACGCTTGCTCTGAAGTGTTTGAAGTGCTCTTAGGTTTATTTACGACAGCCGGCAGATGAGGTGAGGTGTCTGGGATTTTAGATTGTCAACGCGCGGTTATTCTCCTGCGCACGAAAATCGTGGTGCCCCATAATTATATGCTCCTCCGTGTGTGCATAAATAAATGTATATCTATATCTGGGGCCCCGACTATTAGATCATTCTCTTTTGCAATTCTTCTCCAGCCTGTGTGATTTAATTAACTTTTGGCACACAGCAATTGCGAGCAGTTCCCTGAATCGGATTCAATAAGCACCCGGACAGCCAACAAAAGGGCATGATGCCGCACTTTGAGCTACGAACACACACAAAAACGAGCTTGTAACCGCAAATTAGTTTCAAACATCACACAAAACACAAAAACGGGCCACAAAACAGGCAACAAAACTGCATCAGCGATCGGCAGCAGCCTTGCAAAATCCGAAAATCCGTTGCAGTAATAACCATAACCCCCTCCAAATCCCCGCCATATCCATATATATATCTCAGACTCTCGCGTCAGCTGAAAAATCGACAAACGATGTTCGCCTTTATTCTGTATTATTACTCGGCTGCTGCTTATTTTTCGGTTTTGCGAATTGGGCTTAGATTTTTCAGTGCTGATAGTAAAAGTGACGCATCAAATGGAGCTGCCTGAGCTTGGATGTAATTAGAGAGTTGGCGGGGTATATACGATTCAGAATGGCTTTATGACACTAAAAAGGTAATTTAAGAATAATACCCTAGTAGCCCTAAAATAATTAGATGATATGATGGAATCAAATTAAGAGTATTTACTCGTGTGATATAACTTGTGTTCACTCATCACTGCATGCTCTCTAATTTCTTTTCTGGTTGTATTTATTTAACTTGATTCAATTTCATTAAAAGCTGGCTCATAAATGTAATTAAATATAGTTAATATCTGTAATAATAATTAAGATTATAACAATTTACAAGCGTTGTATAAGTTTTGTATCCTGTGTGAGTGCTTAAAAACCACTTTATATGTGCATAGCTATAAAATCAAATCACTTAGCGATGTCCATATTTATTTATGAATTTGTTTTTATACCAATATAATCTATAAGGAGTACCAGCAGGTGTACCCCTTAAGCAAACTGTTCTGATTTTCTGTTTCATGAGTCAGTGACACAAACACTGGCATACACATGTTTATAACTCATTTTGCAATATTTTTCGAAAAACACACTAAAAACGTGTCCCAGCGACAACAATCACTTTGAAAGGGTCGTGTGGTTTTGCATCTTTACGGCATCCAACATCAATAGAATCCCAAAAAAGTAGTTTTCCATTATATCTTACTTTGGTACTTTTGTAATGCTTGAATGCTAAATTTGGCAACTATTCAAGCGGCAGCAACTAAACAGCCTCTAACGTCATTAATAGATGGCAAAGAGCTTTCAGTTTAGCCGGTTTCGGATGCTCACAACTTGGCAAACTTTTATGACTTAATTTTGCGCAGCCTCACAGCAAAAACACATTGTTTGTTGAAAACATTATTTTGCGGTTTGCAAAACACGGTTCAAGAGGGTTTGCAAAAATAGATTTATTTGTGGTTGCACAAATCGATTTGAATGAACGAAGTCTGATCGATGCCGATCAACTGGGAGTTGGGCACGTGGTTGGGTTCAATTAATAAGTTAGTTTGTTTTGCCACGAGACGGAAGTAATCATGGTCGATTATTTTAAATTGACTGTTAATGAAATGCAATTGGACTTTGCTCCAAAGATTTATTACATTGAATGGTAGATTTCAACTCGAAATTGGGTTTATGGTGCCCTATAATTCTTCCTTATTTTTATTAAGTCTCGTTTTCAGCAAAGAATTGTATAGATATAAATTGATTAAAAATTTAACTTGGGTATAATAACATTTTGATGAACAAGTTAATTTTAGGTTGCAGTTTTTCCTTATATTTTAATAGTCATTTTTAATCTCTAGAATAATAATAATAATAGATTTTATCGGCAAAGGAATCTGATTGTGCACCAATAAGCATAAAATCAAACTAAAATTTTAAAGACATTAATATGGTTTTACAGAATTTAATACCACTACTCGCCCCATTTTTCTTTTTATTTTTTTTTATTCTGCAGACGCAGAATTTTCTCATTTCAACTTGGAAGTTTTTCATGATTTCCTTTGAACTGATTGCCACCCAGCTGTAACATTTCTTAGCCACGAAAAATGAGGCTTAAATTATTGGCTTGGCATTTAACATGACAGCCACATTAAATTGTCCACTTTGGCAACCTGTGTGCCGGGCACATATGTATCCACCAGTACTACCCATATATATTTATATATATATATATGTATTTGGCCATATGTTTTATATATAGGAGTTGGCTAGGCTGCTGCTGGCGTTAGCCATAATTGACGTTTGACGTCTCGGGCCGGGTTGGGTTCAGACTTTTGCTCCGGGCCTCAGACCTCTCGAGGAAATTCAGGCGACGACGGCTTGTCTGGGGCAAAAAAAAAAAACAATTTTTACTTAACAGCTTCAGTTTTGGTTTGTTAATTGTCACTTTCATTGGAGCCCGCACAATCCCAGCAATTTTAATTCAATCCTAATGCGCCCAAATGATTTGGGATTGGGCAAGCATGTCTGTACGCTGGACTCTGATGCAATCACACTGTAACAAATTATATTAATACTTTGTGTGGTAAATGCAACTCATAACTCAGCCAACTAAGACTTTGCATTTATTGAGCTAGCTAATCTGCGTTTTATGCAAAGCAACTCGTACCGAGAAATGTTTGCCTGAGACCAGTTCTTGGCCCATAACCTTGAGCCACAAACACAGCGCTAAGAAGACGCTTCCAGTTGACTAGTGGAGATATCCACATCCGTTGTGTAATTGCCCAGAGACAGAAAAAATATTAAAACAGTCTATTGCGTGGTGCTAGACAGCTGTCCAGTGGTGCGATTCAGTTTGGTGATTCGGTGGTTCAGGGGGGGCAATTACAATCAGCCAGAACCATTAACAGTTATTAAGATCAAATCCGAATTCAATTTATTTGTTAATTAAACGATTGGCTAATTCCATGTTGTCTCGTGTACGCAGATTAGCAGCCATCAAGATTACAGCTTAGATATGCAGTTATCCGACTTTGGCACCCCGGTCTTATGAGTGATATTTCGCTGAAATATTAAGTATACGTTGCGGTGTTACAATGTGTGTTCATTGCTGACCAAGTAAAAATCAAATAAAAATGGCATATAAATGCATATTTAAAATAGTTATGGCTGTAGTAAATAACATTTTTTATAGCAGGCAAAAGTTAGTTAGTTTTTTGAACTAAATTCAAATATCCCCTAAAGTAGGCAAAGAAATTTGAATTGAGTGCCAAATAAATAAAGTGAATTTCAAAACCTTTTCTTGTGGCTTAAGACAAGTTTTCTAAGCCCAGCTTTTAGCTTTAATAAAAAGCTTTTTTTACCTGATTTAGCTGTTGCCACTTTGACCATTTGGCGGGTCAGTCGAAGCCACCGGAAGAAACGTCTTGAGACACCCAATTAAGTCAGAGAAATGGGGCTTCCACACACAAACAAAGAAAATAACTTAAAAACAGAAGTTAACACAAAACTTATGTAAGATGGAGTTACAAATTTGCAGACCGTGAAAGTGTCTTGTTTTTGCTAAAGGAAAACGCCAACGGAAACAGACAACTTTGAATATTGAATGGCAATATTTTTGAGGTAATGAAATGCAAAGCTTTCGCAGCGTTCAATTGGCCATGAGACATATCTACTTAGGCTTCCCCAAATAGGTAGTGCAAACTGAATTAATGGTTTGCTAAGTGTAAATTGTAACGCCAACATGGAAATCGGAAACTTTCGGCTGCATTTTAATTATTGTATGCCATCTGCTCATTACAGCTGAGTGAGTTGAATTTAAAATCATTAGGAAAAAAAGTTTTTCAGAAAATGTGAAGTATTAACTTGAAAAATTGTTAATTTAAATAAATAAATAAAAAATTCTTATGTAAATTTAAGGTTCACAAATCCTGTCTGGATTGCTACCCTCTTCTAAGCTTAAATGAGAACCACAGCAGTAACTGGAACCATATGATGCAGCTGATCCTCTCAACTAAAGATAAACACACCTTTTTGGACAAATTCTCAACTTGTTTTCACAAATTGGGTAAAAATACAATTTTTCAGGTTTAGTTGCCAATGAATGGGAAATTTTATTGAGATTTTAAAGGAGTATGACAATTTATATTTTAACAATTATTCTCATTATCTTATTATTATTTGTATTATTTTGATCATATGTTTTCAAAAATAAAATATGATTAATCATTGGCAGCTATAATAAAACGAATAGATCTCCAAAATAAATCGGGGAAACAATATTATTCTCCAAAAAAAACACCATTATTAGTTGTATTTCCACTTAAACATTTTTTCGAATTTTTATTTTACAAATTTGTTACATAACTTAAGTAAGATTAACCTTGATGTTGTTCCCTTTTGTTCGTTCGCGTAGCGTAGATCTCAAAGTTCCTTTGCAAGCTACACTGAGAGAAAGCAGTGAATTTCCGGGGTGGAGTACGAGCTAAGTGGGCTTAAAGAACTACGAAGTGAGTCCGTCCTAGTAGTGGCCCGCATAGGGACTCGCGTAGTGGCCGTAGTGCCCGTTGTACTGGTCGTACTGGGGAATGTACTCGTACTGCTGCCCCTGGTTGTAGTAGCCATCGTCGTAGTCGTAGTGGATGGGTGCAGCTGCCGCCGGCGCATAGTGCTTGGCCACTTGAAGATCGAATAAATATAGAAACTTTAGCTTTTGTCCCGCACAAAAGTACACCGACTGACTTAAATTTATTTCGCTCTCCGGCGCTGTTGTAATAATGACCGACAAAAAAAAACTAAAACTGCCGTAACAGCTGTTAACCGTTTGCCATTGTTTGTAAGTAGCTCAACTGGCGAAGATAAATAAAGTAACAATTCAATGCTGACCGAGGCATTTTCTTTTGCCATTTCTTTGCCCCCTTGCAAATAATTTATTTGTGCACGAATTTGTCAGTCAATTGGTCACAGGTGCTGTTTTGTTTTGTTTTGATTTGGCTCCTATTTTTTATAGCTTGTTTATTATTTACCCGTTTTGTATGCAAGCAAGTTCGTTGCCTAAGTCTTTTGTTTTGGGCGCTGATTTCTTTTGCTGTGCGTTTTGCTGATAATTCTCAATTAAAATTGCACCGCAGCACCCACAACAATTATGAGTTTTCACATGAGTGTTCACCATGTATTCATTTCCCAGGCCCAAGGCATTGCGACATTGAGAAAATTATGCTAAAGTCTTTGGGAGTGTGAGGCGATGGGAGAAGGGAAATTGCTGAAGAAGAAACGGCGGCAATTTTCGTGAAAAATATGCTGCGGTGGCTGTTGTTTTTTTGGAAGATGATGCACCTGACATAATCTGTGTGGGAAATTCAAAACCGAAAGTGCATAAACAAAGCTAGATCTTTGGCTCCGATCGGAGCAAAGTGAGGTAACCCACTAAAGAGGCGTGTCGGCGGATTAGTCAACCATATGATGTTACACATTTCCAACCCAGTTTACAACCCATGATTCAGTTTAGCTGCTTGGCTGGCCGCAAATGTGAGACTAATTGCAATTTATTGAATGAAATTGCCAATGCAACTGCCACCCAAGCTAGAAATGATGAGATTACAATGCAATTATGGTAAGATATTCAGACGGTTCAGAACATTTTCAGTAGGCTGCATAGTAATCAGCGTCAAAACCCAGATCATCATCATCATCATCGCCGTTGTCGTCTTCGTCTGGGCGCAATTTGCGATACTGATTGTTCAGATAGTTGGCATGCCGCCTGAACAGCTTTAGCATGCGATATGTGTTCATGCCTGTAAGAGCGAGCAGAGAACAAGTGGAAATGGGTGGGTGGAACCACAAAAAGGGGGTACTAAGCAGGAGGGGGGTGAGAAGAGGTGCCACCGGAGGTGAAGGCCAACTAAGAAGGTGCTGCTAAATCATTTCTATAAGTCCCCAGAACCCTCTTAACCCATATATACCCTCCCCAATAGTTCTTAACTCACCATAGGGCGCCGGGGAGGCAACCACCAGTGGGGCATGTGCCACCGGAGCCACGTGCTTCACCACCTGCGGTTCGTAGTGAGCCAGAATGGGTTTATGGGCCACAATGGGATTGGCTACCACCGCCTGGGCGTGCACAGTGGGTCCCGACTTGGTCACCACGGCATTGAAGCCGTGAATGGAGTCCGCCGTGTAGTCCACTGTGCGAATGGAACCATCGGGCTCAACCAGAGAGTATTGTCCTAAAGAAGAGACTATAGAAATACAAAGCACATTGACATAGTTGTTGGAGTATTACCCTTGACTACATCGCCATCTCGTGTTTCGTGCTGTGACTTAACATCTCCTGTGGTGTGATCCGCCACGCCATAATTAAAGGCATATTTGGGATGATCCTGTTTAAAAGAAAGAAAAGACAAAAATATAATTTACATTTATTATAACCAATTCTATATTTCCTTTGAATACTATACTAAAGAAACAACATATTTTCCTGTTCTTTAAATTTAAAAAATTATCCATTTTTTGTATCCATTTCCTGTATATATACTTATTAAGATTTTAGCCTTTCAAAAAAAATAAAAATGGAATTTCTTGGAGCAATATTAATGAAAAAATATTTTGATTTAGAACATATAATTCTAAAATTACAAATTGAATTAAAAACAGGATATTCTTTTAAAATGGGTCTTGAAATTATAACATTTACTTTAACGAGACAAACATAAGTTAACTCGTGCAGAAAATTTATTTGAGAAGGATTATAAATAAAAGCATGTTCAAATTTACTTTTTTATTGTACCGTGAACGAAACTTAAATTTGAAAACAAAAGGAACTACTAAAATGTACTTAGTTCATTGTATCTTTCAAACACATTTGATGCATTCATTAATCATTTAACAATTTATGGGCTAAGCCCTTTCTGTGGTTCACCACTTTTAAACTCACATAATAATCCAGAGCATATCCAGGCCGCGCCACAGCAACACTGGCGAACAGAGCCAACGAAAGGATCACGAAGCACACGAAGTTTGCCATTTTATTTGTGGGATGTATATTTTTTGGTTCAAATGCGTATGAAACGTGGAAAATATTTGCTAAAAGTAGACACAAAATTGCGTATCCGTTAGAAAACACTTCACTATGATGGGGATTTTTTTGATTTTTTCAAAAATTTACTTGTTGATATTCAACGGCACCAGATACAAACACCGCAAAGCTGCCCGGAATACTGTGGCGATTCTAAAAGCAAGTTTCCATTAAATAAGCGCGAAATGTGCGAAAGCCGCGGGCAGCGCAGTCGGCGTCGGCAGAGAAGTCGGCAGAGAGCGGGCACAATGCCAAGACTCTTGAATTTCTCAGTCACTCGGCTGTGGCGAATGGTGGTGATCCAGTCTGCCGAGCCACTCTTCTCCATGTGAATGGAGTTGCAGCATGGACTGCTGCCCCATGGGATGTTGCCACACGCAGCCGGGTTCCACTGTATCCACTGTATCCACTGTATCCACCGCATCCACTGAATGAGGTGGCGTTGTGCTTTTGTCGGCCGATCTGCGACACATTTCTCAAATCCGTTGCCAATCCTCCAGCCATTGTCAATGAAGTCATCTGGTACAATCACTTCTTTCAGGCCAGAATTATGCGAGATTAATCATTCCGAGTTAATCATTAATTTCCTTGATTTCTGCAAGAAATGATTGTGGCCAATTTAACTAACAACTTAATGCTCTCCAAAAAGCAACCGATACCGAAATAAATCGCAGACAAGAACCGAAAAAATGTAAATCAAACACAAATCGGGTCAAGTTGCAATTGCAGCACAATAAGGCCCTAGTTATTCGGCACATGCGAAATTCTCAGTGATCTACTTCAATGACAGCGGCTAAAACTAGTAACAAGTACTAGCACAGTACAAATACTATAGCAACTGGACTTGGCTTAACTATTTGTCTCTCAGCATTCAACTGAAGGTCAAGCGCATTAAACTAGACTTCAAAGTTGGCTTCCATTCTGGGCTGAAATGAAAGCCAAGTCTGCGGAGCAGGACAATTTATGACGCCAAACAAATGCTATTCCTTAGCTATTGCCAATCTGACCTTTGGTTTTGCACTAACAATTAGTATGACTGGTAGAATTGGATTAAATATCGATGAAGAATTGATGGTATTTAAGGCCAGGGTAAAAAATATAATTATTTATTTTTATGGCAAAGCAAAGCTTCAAGAAAAATATTGTCATCAAATGGATGGTATTTTTTAGCTACTTGAATAAAATTGATTATAATTAAAGGTATCAGTCTACGAGTTAATTAAATAAAATTATAAAATAAAACCAAATAAACCATTAATTATATACAAAATCGTTTTCCCTCAATGAAATAATTTTAAGTAAATATAAAGAAAACCGCATAATTTAAAAACTTTTGACCAAATTTACAATAGTTCACCTTAATCGGATTTTAAAATTGGAATAAGTGTGAAAGGATAAGTCTATGAATAAAATTGATTATATTTTAAAGGAATTAGTCTACGACTTAAACAAATAAAGTTATAAAATAGTACAAAATAAACCAAAAAATGATCTATAAAAGCATTTTCCCTCAATAAAATAATTTTAAGTAAATATAAGAAAATTGCATAATTTTCAAACTTTTGACAAAATTTAAATTAGTTCACCTCAATTTAATGAAATATGCAAATTGCTCTCATCTTCCATGCGGGTTTCAGCCCAAACAAAAGCCGCCTGAGACAGATTTTCAATCTTTAATTTATGGCTATTGCACACCCTTGAGTCAAGACGAGAACGTGCCAATTGCGGTCTGTCTGGCAGCCTACAAACTAATCCAAATTATTGTCAGACCGCAGAAGCCTTAACTGTAGTTAGTGCAGCTTTTTGTGCGGCTAATAATGTGGGCTAGTTTAATGTCCAGGTGGGCTTTTCTTGGCCATTTTCACACAATTAACCGCTGCGAGGGGCGCGCTAAAGACTCTAATTAAAATGCGAGGAGGGCTTCAGAAGTAATCTGCAGCTGACCCGACCAAAAAAAACCAACAGACCTTCGACTTGCTTGGAAACAATTGTCTCTCTTCGACTGCGGTTTTTGTAAAACTAAATACTAGATTAAGTCAATTTGCATGCCGCCAAAAAGCCAAAAAGCATTTTGCTACCTCTAGACTTGGGAAAATTCAGTCAGCAATTGTCGGCGTTTTCCGAAGGTTTTCCACATGCATTCGTATGTAGTCTTACCTTTTTTACAGCCTGTTTTTTTTTGCTGAGTAAGCAGGCATCATGACAGACATGTGCGTGCCTGGGCATTGTTTCTGGTTTCTGGCAATTAACTTAAATATATTTAACCGGTAGGAAAAACAAAGCCAAAAGAAAATTCATAAACGGAGTGGAAGAATTCTTCTAAAATGAAGTTTATGTGGGATGGGAACACAGAATTCGGAATTAGGAAGTAAAATATTCTAATGGCTTTGGTTTAAATAAAATTTCATGTCTAAGTGCTGCATTTTTAATGAGATATTTTTAAAGCCATCCTTTTCTTTATAGATCAGTTCTAGATGTATGCATTTAAGTGTTTCTTAAGAACTTTAAATTTTAGTCAAAAACTGTTTCTTTCAAGATTTATAAATAGATACAGAAACATTAAAATTTAAAATTAATAAAAAATTAATACGTTTTCTTTAAAAAAACTTTAAAAAACCAAAGAAATGATCCTGAAATTCAGTATTTTTTTATTAGATATCTAGTTGAATTAAAAAAGTTAAAAACGATAACAAATCTAATGATAGCTGACCCTGAACCTCTTCTACCATCCGCCAAATACCTTTCCTTCTGCGCATTCCTAGAATATACAATCGGCTTAAATTAAGCTTATTGAGGATATACTCCATCACTAAGCACAATGAGTTCCTTCGCTCCCATGAATCTGCCTCATTTCCATCGCTTGAAAGGCCCTTCATTGGCAAGATCATTCTGCACAAAGTGCGGCACTCGGGGAATTGGCAACGCGATTACCATGAGGTCGCAGTTTTGGCCAAATCCAGAGACGAGTCATGAGCTGGTGACTTTGACTTGGTTTACTTTGGTCACCTAATTTCGGCTTGTTTGCACACCGACTAATTTGACAATGGAGCACTTCGACAAGCGGGTTGCAACATGGGGAATGGAATGGGGCTGGGATGGCGGGTGTTGCAAGTCGGGGGGCTTGGGAGTGTGGGCGGTTTGCGGTCTTGTTTCTCGGGTAACACTGCCAACTGGCGGCTGTCATTGTTGTCGCCCTTAGTTGGCCATGGTCCAGTGAATCCACCGCGGCTGCCGCATCTCCAATTGAGTGACCATTGTTAAGCTGGCCGGCCTGTTACAGAATGACCCGTGGCAAATGCGTTCGGGGCAATAAAATGCAAATGAATGGCTGCCTTCGAGTCTCTCTCTTCCTCGGCCGCTGGCCCACTATAAATTTCGCACCTCGGCAGCCAATTTGCTGCAGACTGTTTGCCATGCATCAAATTAACGGCCCAACTAATCCAGTTAACATTGTTATATAATTGACTCTGACAGTCGACGGGCTGATTATGCACTGCTGACTTGGGTAGATGGGTTGTCTCTTATTATTTATGTTCGCTTCTACTTAACTTCTGCTTAAAAATGTCCCATCAGTTGTTCAACATTAATCATCAATTAATGGGATTTTTCAATTACGCAGACAGACAGACGGCATTTAGCATTTAACAGTGGTTTGGTTGGGCTTAAAAACTAAGTGGGAGTTGAAAACTTGTGGGGGTTAACTCTGCGTATGCGTAATATGGAAATTAATCAATTTTCTAATTTTCTAATTTAGAAAATATCTACTTATTATTTTTATTTAATTATTATTTTTTATTAACGACTAACTCGGTAAGCTTTACCACCTTATTTAATTAAAGCTTTATAATTTAAAATTTTAATTAGTTTACAAATTTGAGCTTTGCATTTGGTTTAAATTTGTACAGCATTTATATAAAATCGTTATTTTTTTAAGACATGTTCAATCTTAACAAAGATATATTCATTACTGGATTCGTAGTTACAAATGCGTTCACACAAGTTTTTCTCTATCTCAAGATTTTCTAGCCAATTTTACAAGCTCTACAAATTACAAGCAAATGTAACTCCGATCACTTGACACTGTGCAACAAACAAATGTATCGACAAGCCATCTCTTGGCCCCTCCGAACATCTCCTGAAACCAGTAGCCAATAGTCGAGGTATTTTATTATCTATAAATCGTATCTGCTGCGATAGATGCATATCTCAGAGGTTGCATCTTAATGTTGCCGCCACACACAGCATCCCAGATACCGAGATACACTAACTGCAATCGATGCCATATAGAGAGCACGTGTTGGCGACAGTTTATTGAGGCAGTCATCTTGAATGTCAACTGGTCGGAGTTGGAAAAAACTGAAAGAGAAACATAAAGCCGAGACTTTAGTAACTGTCATTTAAGTATGAAGAAGTTGCTGGCTAACTAAAGGTTATTGGAGCAGCGGCTATAGATACAGATACAAGTTTGCATTCCATTTGACATTGAGATTTAGGCACAAGGGAGAGGTACTGCCTAGTACCCCTGTCCGAAACTCAGATCTAGTTAACCAGCGGAAACTTCCTTCCGGCATTTCCCACTTCGACCTTAACTAGTGGAGAATCCGCCCCCAAAGGCGGCACCTGTCCGTTCTTATTTTTCGTATCAAGTAAATTAATGGAGACCACGTATGAGAGATTCACCCTTTTGTTTTGGCCTGAGCTCACAAAAATGCGCACATTTAAACGCTCTGGTGATCACTGATCTTTGATAAATTCTTTTTCCCTCACCTAGCACTTTTGAACCATTTTCTCGGACGTCTCTGTTTTGATCGTTGGGCATTTGTCTAAACAAAACCACGTTGTACCCATTAAGAGATCAATATTTGGCTTTGTTTCGTTTCTTTCGCACGTTAAAAGTGACGGAAATGCGAAGATTTGTTGCATGCGGAAGCCTCCACACACTCATCTCTTGTGACTTAAATGTTTCGAGTTATGTTTTATTTGTTTATTGTCTCCAGCGGAGAGACGCCCCCGAACTTGTGACCGCACTGGAGGGCAACTCCGCCGGGGGCATCTCTCTGCGGTGGCTTCCAGTGAGGGAATTAAAGTAAAAGTGCGTAAATGGATAGGAAATTGTGGTTATCCAACTGGCACCCATTGACCTTGCCATTTGCATTTGTTATTGAATAAGTAATAATTGGAGAGGAGTTAATTGATGGGGACTTAAAACACATTTTTTTGGAATTTCTTTAATAACTTTATTTTTTTAGAAGTAAACCGATGCTTAAGGATTTTTTGATTGAAATCTGATTAAAAGGGGTTTCAAAACTCAAAGACTTATTGTTTTATACAACTTACAACCTAATCTAACAATCCTCATCATTTTCCGGCTGATATCGAAAAATAAAATTTTGGTCAAAATTTCGTATTTTTATAAGGGGTAACATCATCAATTTTTCCAAAAATGGGTCAAAAATTAGGTTTGAATGCAGATCGATTGGAAATTTTATTACGAGTTTAACAAGGTATATTACTCCAAATTTGGTCCATTATTTGCCATGTTATGGCCCAAATGCGGTTTAAAAAATCACTATAAAGACTCTAGAATTGTAAATAATCATAATGGTCCGCAAAAATAAAGATTACGGTGCCTGCTTAAAAGTAGTCTTTTTCTATTACTGTTATAGAAAACAGCCAAGAAGCATACATTGAAGTTTTATATAACTCTAACCATCTTAGAAAAATGTTTAAATCTAAGCTTTAAGCTAAGCTAGGAAAATCGCAGCCTAAAAGCTTTCTTTGAATAAAATAGAATAAATATTAATCAATGATTATGTAGACATCCTTAAAACTATCCTCCTACGCAAGTACAATATCCTTCTTTAAGAAATATACGACGTTTTGTTTAAATGTTTTATTTATATTATACATTTGTTTAAGCATTTAAAAAGTTAAAAAGGAATTATACACAAAATATGTGTTTGTATTTATATTCAATCAGCAAATTAATCTGCAAATCTTGAATTAATGTCAAGGTAAATCAAAGCCCATCTAAAGATAAAAATGCACGTGTACATTTGTCAGAGTTCTTCAACCAATAAGTTAAATCAACACCAACTGGTTATTGGCTAATCCAATGATAATCAATCGGCGATGCTTACCTTCACCTTTTCCACTCACGCCCACAAATTAGCCAGATCGATAATTGTCAATCAAGTGGCGTGATCTCAACGAAGTGCTCTACCCATCAATTTCCATAACTTTCATAATTAATGGGAACCATAATTAGCAGTAGTTAGATCCGATTGCTGATTGAAAGTGAATGTATTCTTGATCACAAATGGTAAACAGCTATTTAATCTGATTCATAGTCATTCAAAACCATGGAATTAAATATTAATTAAAAGTCTATAAAGTCAATAGAATTGATAGAATTATTAATATTTATATTTATTTTATGATATTGCCATAATCATATAAATTACTTTTTAAGCATTAAAAACCATATCATTTAGTTATAGTCTTCTTACTTCAAGTCAAAAATGATTTTCTTTGATGTAAAAACATCTATATTGAAATTTATGTAATTCTATTTATTAGTTTAATAGTTGTAAGTTTTACTTGAAACATCAGAAAGATTTTTTAATTTTATCATTGTTAGATCCAGACTAAATCGTTTTATCGATTTTCCTTATTTTCCCGTGCAATAAAAACATTGTTATTTGAATTTTTGTAATTCTCTACATTTTGTATTTAATAGCAGTGTCAGCAGTATCAGCTTCAAACTTAAAGTATACACAAAATTATTATAATACATGTGTTTTTTTATTATTTTTTTATGTTTTGTTCGTTTTTCTTCATCTTTTTCAGGTTGGTTCTTCTTCGTGGGCGTGTGGCATGATGGGCGTTTGTTCCTCACTCGTTTTTTTCCTCGTTATTTACAATAAAAGTGAAGTTTGGATAACAAACAAAAGAGAGAATTGCGCGAAAGCTGAGACAGAGACGGCAATGTGTGTGTGAGAGGGAGACAGATGCTGCGGTATGGAGGGGAATCCCCCACAGGCGATGGACATGACTGGGGTACTGAGTATTGTAGCAGGCTCGTCAGTGGATCGAATCATCCGTTTTGTGAGGTCGTCAACGTGCTTAATAAATTACAGAAGAGTGGTGGTGGTGGTGGCGGTGCTAGTGGTGCAGGTGGTGCAGTTAGCATCCCGGCCTCCTTAGTAGTGGGCCACATGCGCGTGGGCGTTGTGGGTGGCATATCCGTAGGCGGGCACGGCGGCGTGGTGCGCCAGGGATCCGGCATAGGGAACGGCAGGAGCGGCGGCCACATGGTGGGCAATGGCCGGGGCATAAGCCAACTGGGGAGCGGCATGGGCCACCACGGCGGGTGCGGCATGGGCAACCACGGCGGGAGCGGCATGGTGCACGGTGGGTCCGGTCTTGTGGACCACGGCATTGAAACCGTTGTGGTCATCGGCGGTGTACTCCACGGTGCGCACCGAACCATCGGGCTCCACCAGGGAGTAGGATCCCTTCACCACATCGCCATCGCGCACCTCGTGTTGCGACTTCACATCGCCGGTGTGCGAGTCAGCCACTCCGTAGTTGTAGTGGTACTTGGGGTAGGCCTGTGGATTGCCGAAAGAAAATGCTATTGAGTGCTAATTTTATGTGCATGCCACACGCCACGCGGTACAACTGGCTATGCTAATGGACTTGGCGTGGGAAAATCCACAAATGTCAAAAGCCACGATGACCCTGGGCCAGCATCCACTGATTTGCCAGAGGATTGACTGAAAGGCTGCTCAGACTTACCACCAAATGATGGTGGTGCAATTTTTAGGGCATATTATACATAATTTTTTGATTGCCTGATTATTGCTTATAAAGTTTACAACTCATATAAAGGGAACACATGGCGTATGTGTAATTTTTGTGGAGAAGGATTACGAGTCGTATGAGTAATTTTTATGAGTTAAAATGTTGGCTTGAATGGCTTAGCTTGTTTGCTTATTGCAAATTTTATGGTTACTCGCTTTTAACTTTAAAATGTCAGATTTGGTAAATTTGCAATTGCATTTTCTTCGCAAAAATTAAATTATTAGGAAAACTGAAAAAATTGTATAGTGTTAATAAGAGCTTAGTTTTCAACTTGGACCAGGTGCATTTTGTTATGAAATTCAAGTTTTTAAACAGGAACTTTAAGGAGTTACTTTAAACTGGTAAATGAGTTATATATTTTAATCTATTCACTAGAATTTACTTTAAGTGAGCTTTATGGAAATAGTTTTTAAGTTCATATTAGCTGCCTTTTGGACTTGGGAACCCTATTCTTTAGTTTCCTTGTACTAGACCCACTTACATGGTAGTCGATTCCCTCGTCGTGGTGGCCATGGCCGGCATAGATGGCCGGGGCGGCGGCGTAGAGACCAGCACCATGTCCGTGGAGGACTCCGGCGGAGGCGGCGCTCAGGACGGCCAGGCAGATCAGGGACTAAATCACAAGGGTGGGTTATTATATTTCATTAGATCACATGGCACTTTTGCGGATGCTGGGCTATCCTGTTCACTCACTTTGAAGAATGCCATTGCGAATGGAGATTGGTTTTTTGGGATTTGTTTTTTTGTTGCAGACGCGAGTGTGTGCTGTACGTTGAGCTGGATTCAACTGATAACTAGAACCAAGAAGGAAACCGCTTTTATATACAAGACAACGCCCGAGCGGGCCAAACACGAACCGAGCCACAAAAAGCCGAATGCGAGTCGGTCAGTAGCAGTACAACAACAAAGGTACCAGGCAAAGCCAAGCTTTGCGGAGCGAAGCCCAAGAAGTTGAGGCCCCCGTAACGCCTCCCCTTCCACTCCCCCTCCCCTTCCCATCCCCCTCCACCACTCAACAATCCAACAATTATTTAATGCTTTTTGAAAAACGAGAGTGAAGTTCAGTTGAATGTGGAGCGGGCGTTCGCTGTGGTTTGTCTTTGGAAATTGTCTGATTTGTGAGATAACTCGCGATGTATGTAAATCGAAATAATTGTGAAATGGAAGGGAAAACCTCAAATTGGATAATACGCGACATTCGATACGAGTTCTATCAACTAAAGTTAAACAAACATTAACATATCAAATTGGCCATTATTAAGGCATATTAATTATGAAATCATGATCAGAAAAAAAAAGGTTATCTATCTATATGTTTCCATCTCCCATCACGATTTAATTGAAATGGCCTCTCCAAAGCTCCCTCGCAAAACAATCTTCAAGCTCGAATAAAATTAGCCGTAAACACAAATATTTATGAATAAAATAAGACAATGGCTGAAATAAGTTAAAATTGCATTTCGGTGGGCGGAGGTGTTGCTCCCCTTTTCCTCCTCCCCCCAAAAGATTTTCCACAGCATGTTGCAATTTGTTCGCTCGTCTATTTCGTGGGTTTGCAAGACGATGTTTTCAATGTTCTATGTTTCTTTTTTGTTTAGTTGCAGCGGGCGTCGTCTATAAAAGCTTCCAGCTAATGCTGTTGTGCACTTAAAAGAAATTAAAGCCCACATATAGTTTAATATAGCACAATGGATAGTTTAATGAATTAAATTCATTTAATTGAAAGCTTTAACTTGTTGAATATGAGGAATTTGAAAGCATTTAAAACAGATATAAATTTGTATTTTCTTGCATGTATTTGGGTACTTATTATGTTCGTGTTACTTTTTGTTGTTATTAGTTTCGTCAACTGCTGATCATTAATACAAATAACTAAGTTTGAATTAAAAGAATTTTTATTAACACACATTTTGGTATTGGGCATTTCAAGTGAGTGGCAAATATTTTCCAGTGCACTACTGTTGTTCCTACTGCCATTTTTTTTAATTGCCATGTAGGCTGTTTTGCTTATTAAACCAATCTTGCGCAAATGGAAAGGCAAGGGGGGTTTTCTGTAGAGAGAAGACGCAGTAGAAGTGGGGAGCAGCATGGCGCCACATCATTATGGCCAAAATATCCGCCAGTACAGCCCAAACTCATTACCAGGCCAAAACTACGACCAAAAAAGCGTTTTGTTTTGTCATATTTTCGGGGCTGCCTTGCTTTGTTTTATGTCAAATTTACTGGGCTTATGCTATGTACTTGCCCTGCTTTGCCTCATTTAATAAATTGTCTCGAATTAGTAAGCTCGGCTCTGACATTCCCCCCTTTGAACCCCCTCTACTCCTAGATGGGCATCGCGAACTAAAAATTGAAGTAATCATCTCAAGGTTAGCACGACACAGCGACGTCGAACGGCAAACGACGTGTAACGGATCACTAACAGTTGTAATCGCAATGGTCTAGAGCCAGGAGTGTAGCCTTCAAAGGGGTACTATTATTAATTAAATTATTCAAAAAAAAAGTAAAAAATTTGTGTCTTGATTCCACAATTTTACCAATTCCAGTTAGTGCATTTTTTACTTACATTGCCATCGGCAACTGAAGTTTCTATAAAGAAGAGACGCATCTTAAATACATAAATATATTAATATTCAAGCAAAAAGACAGGCAACTCTATTTTACCACAATATCTATACATTTATTATAATTCTCAAATTTGTAAACCCCCTTCCGAAAAAAAAATATTTTAGTTAAATATTTAAAGGCTCAAAAATACATATTATCCAAGAAAATATTGAACATTTTTATTGTGCCTTGCCTAAGTTGTTCTTTATTATTTCTTCACCCCCTTAAAACTACGCCTCTTGCTACCCAAACTGAATCTCGGAATTCAGCTTAGGCTGCCTGAATTAGAGCACAATCTGATTACGTCCTTTGTTTACGGAAAATGACGCACCACCATGGCCAATTAATTGAATTTTCGCAGTTGAGACTTTGAAAAAGTAGGTTTCGATTGGATTCGAGCAAAATGCAGTAATTGATTGTGTTTTGATGGATGATTGAACCATATTTGGGAAGAGGTAGGGTTGGTATATCCATGAGGAGTGGTATGGATTGTTCTATAGAATATTCCTGATATGCCACAGATTATTTTCCTAAAACTCTTATTGCAAGTGCTGACTAACAATCCAAGTTGAAACCAGTTATCTCAACTTCCTTGATAAGAGGTTTCGTTTCCTAGGTATGCACTAACCCGTTAGTTAAATGTGTGGAAATTCCTTGAACAATCATAGGCCACTCACAACGCCAGAACCAAGCCAAGTCCAGTTAAAATAGACTAGACTAGACTAGACCCAACAATGACAATTGCAAATTCGTGAATGCGAAACTCTTTGGCCATATTGCGCGTTTCCTTTTCGATTTAATTATGCACCCCTTCCGCTGGCTTTTAGTACGTGCAACAGATCCGCAAACGTATATCTTAACAGTTATGAGTCAGGCGAGGAGTTTCAAAGCTTCCAAAGTGGACCACCCAGACCAAGTCGGCAGCCGGATTCGCAGAATCACAGAATCGCAACGCCCATGTGGCCCGCAGCAGTTGCAATCTTGGCCCGATCTTGGCTCGTCATGTCAGCGGACCCACAGATCCGAGTTCCAAGATGCAAGATCCGAGTATCTGGTCACTTGAGTTGGAGAGCCGCAGAGCTGGCCATATTTTTCTAGCGGGTGCATAACGTGAACGGTCGTCGTGATTCCGAGGTGTCGGCTAAAAAGTCAGAGAGCATTTGCTTCAACTACACTGAGATAAATAAACCTTTAAGACATTGTACATTTACACATATTAATATTATAGGATCAAAATCAGACTAATATTTAATTATTATAATAAGCCTTACGCCCGATAAACTATCGATTGTTAATGTTAAGCTTACATTAAGGATAACATAATCTTTAAGCAAGCCCAATGTTAATCATTCTTGGTATATGGTTTGAATAAAGTGGACGTGTTTTAATATAAAGTGCCTAAATTATTATATATACCGCTCCTCTCACAATTTTAAATTATATTTCAAAAAAAAAACTTATTTCTCCTAGTGCACGTGCCTAAACACGGTTGAAATACCTCAAGTTGATATATATTCAAACAAATTTGTTGTAATTAAAGCAATTTGTGTGCGTTGCCTTAGTTGCACTAGCTGTTGTCTGCTGATTGAGTGGCAAATGTTTGCAGCTTTTCTGGATATTGTTATTGTTGGTTTTGTCGCATGTGTGTGCAATATGCGAAACAAGTTCGTTGCCCAAGTCATTCGTTTGATTTTGAGTTTCGTTCTGTCAGATGTCTTGCGAAATATTGCCCGATGGTAGTGAGTTCACAAGTCAACAGTGAGTGCAGAACGTAGGTTATAATTTAAATTAATTATGCAAAACCGAATTGCAATTAACATATCGAACTAAACCCAAACGACTCATGGCAATTAACATTTACTCATGATTTGCTTTGATCGTTTTCGACCAGCGGCTACTACGTTTTGTGGTAGAAAACCACAGAAAAGAGGAGGGCGATGAAAAAAAAACAATACCAACTGCAGTAATTGAACAAACTGTTGACCTTGACCAACGCCGAATGGAATTCATTGGAAATCAAACTGCAATCAATAAACAAAAGGGCTAAACTGCCAGGTAGAAAAGGTTTAAAAAAGGCATAATTGATTAATAAAATCATGGGTGTATATTATGCTTGTCATACAGATTTCGGTTAAAATCAGATAATAATGCGAAGAAAATGTGTTTTTTCCTTTCCTCAACAGGTAAAGTGCACCCACCGAAAAAACATTACTCCGCCAAGGTCAAAACTACTTTGATTTCAAATTGATTGTATTATTTTGTCTTATTTTTTGGCTGCCGGTCTAAGCTTTTCCCTTACAAATTGTAATTTTTGTAAACGCTCTTAGATCTGGGATCTGGGTTTCAATTTTCTGACAGCTTAATGCCAAATATCTTGGTGGGCGTTTGGCTTATCAGCCGTCCAATTACGAATGCGAGGAGCGAGAGGGGGAGAGGCCAGTAAACAGACAACAGCTTAATCCGTGCAATTATGTCGCTCGAGATTTACATAGATCGCCACTATTGTTCCGCGAGGAGTTCGACCTTCAGGCGATGGTGACCAGACCAGGCTTAGAATGGAGACCCACCAATGGCAATTTGCCATGACCAGGCCGAAACTTTGGGTCGAATTTGGTCTGCATTCAGCTCGCTTTTCGCAATGCATTCACCACAAACAACAGTTTGCAGTTGGGCGACTGGGGCGACTGGGCGAAGGGGGCGTGGCGCTTTACAAAATTTCCGCTTTGGGTTTCTCGTATCGAATTGGTTTTTATATGGTTTTGTAATTGTCTGGCCATTGTCATTTTTGTTGTTGAAATTTGTGGCTCAGTTCGCTGATTTATTGGCTCTCGATAAAGTGCATTGTTTTGAGACGTGGCATGTCGAATGCTTATCGCATTGTTCACCATATCCGGCTTAGAATTGTTCCTACAGCGCGATAACTTATAGATATATATTTCATACTTTGCTCTGTGTTGCAACACAATCGAGTGGCAACAGAGACCGCAACAGAGATGACTGCCGCATCTTATGATCTGCACCCCCAACTCTCGACTGGGTTAACCGCAGCACAATTGTTGGCAATCGCATCTTGCACAACGGCGACGTGTGGCTGCCCTGTGATCAAAGATTGAACCCGGCTTACATGCAACTCCCTTGGAAGCACTGTTTTCAGTCAGCGTTGCGTGGGT